ACAATTGACCAAAAGAAAGCCAAGTTTCGAATAGACATTTCATTTTTATTTTTCTAATTATTCTCCGATTCAATTTCATTTTACTTGATCCATATATTAAAATAATTGTTATTTATATTGATTTTTTTTAATTTTGTACTATTAATCATTAAATAATTACATAAAAAGACTTTCTTACTGGACCTTCCCTTTTCATTTTCGTTTATTTCCTTCTGTCCAGCACTTCTCTTATTATTATCAATAAAATAAAATAGCCATGTGACCTTCTTTTTTCTTTTTTAAAGATAAAACGTCAAACTATGAGACAGATATAAAGTTGAAACTGAGGGAAAAATATCTAGATTTTTTTTAACCATCTTTATCATGAAAATTTAAAGTCACAATAATATATCATGTTTCAATACTACTCGTTTGCGAGCACCTTCTTCGTGGTACAAGTGTAAGAGCTTGTTTGGAATTCAGATTAAATTAAAATTAATCAAATCTATTTGAGATTATTTTTAGCGGCCAGAAGTGTTTAACAAAGATTAGAATAACTTAAATTAAGTTTAAAATGATTTTACATTGGTTAAAAATAAGAGAGAGGTTTCCCCAAGTTTTTATTTTTTGACTTAAAAAATTACTCTATTAAGTTTAAGCTTTTGTTTTTTGAGTTCTTAAGTCAATCCGAACAAATTCTAAATTTATTTTAAATAATACAACAAGTAAAAAAAAAGTTAGGTGAACCATATCGTTTCCTCAAGACCTATAAATGGTGTATACACATGTTTTAGGTTTATATATATATCACTCTGAACTATCAATCCACTTTTTTCGAAGACGTCTCATATTATAACTGCGTGCTCTAATATTGAAGATATATAAATAAGTAAATTAAAGTGTGCTATTTCTCTATTAATTTAAATTTTTAGATAAATTTATCATACACTTTAATTATATAATATAACGATTTTAAATTTCACGATCAATAGCGAAAAAGTCGGTGGGTTTGACCCATGTGACTAAACTTTTTAGATCCATAATTTTAACTTTTTCAGTTTGGACCTATAATGTTTGTGATATTAATCGCATATCGATAGTTGTGATGACGATAATTTAATATACTGATCTCATTAGTTAAATTTTAAGATTGAGTTAAGTCTAAGTGTTTCAGTTTGTTGTTATTATTAAATTCAATTCAATATTGAGTCCTCATTGAATTTTTGGTTATTAATTACCTTAAGATATTCTTCATATATATATTTATGTGCTACATATTATCAATATTTTCCATTGTCATGATGTAAATGTAGGTTGTCAGTCGTACTCTATAGACTCTATCTGATTCAAATTACTGATTTTACATCTAACCACTTATTATTAATTAGTATTTGTGTTCTCCTGTTATTTTATCCCAGAAGTTAATTTGTAACTGTAACAACTTAGAACCCAAAAGACTATATTTTATACAAAACAACTCACATTAATGGTATATTTATTATTTAGTAATTAGTAATGAAGTGATGAAGATCGCAAGCTATCACTGTTTTTCTTCTTCTTATAAGGTTAAGTAGATAGGGAATTTGCTTAATACTGTCGGATTATTTCATGCATAGTTACTTTGGTTAATTTGCTTAATAAAAAAACATTATTGTCGAAAATGCATGTCATTTTCTGACACACTGGACCTAAAATGACTTGTGGTAGTAATAATTTTAAATTTTCCACCTTTAGTTTGGTGCTACACTTTACCAGAAAAGGGAATGAAATGTTCACTTACGTTGTAATTTGCAGCAAAGGGAAAAAATCTTGTAATTTTAGAATAAAGCTATTATTGGAGAAAAATGCCATAATTGATGGCAATGGATTTGTAACGACCTGTTTAGTTGTTTTGAGCAGCAGATTTTATTTCTGGAAAAACAGGCTGAGGCGACGAACCCAACGACGGACCGTCATGGGCACGACGGACCGTCGCAAGGTCTCGTTTCCAAACACTTAGAAAATCTGAAATTGGGTACTGAAAATCGACTCTCTGAACTTCGTAACGGAGTGGCAGGACGGACCGTCACAGGTGTGACGGACCGTCACAGGCCGTTCACCCAAAAATCAAGTTTCTGAACTATGCGACGGACAGCAGGACGGACCGTCGCAGGCGCGACAGCCCGTCACAGC